AACTTACCTTCTTTTTACTTTCTTTTTCATATCATCAAATGCTTCAATGAAAATGGCTATGTGAAAGGTTGGGAATTCGACCAGAAAAGGGTTAAATGGCATGAGTTCAATGATGGTTCAATGACAAACGATGGGAAAAACGTTTGATCTTGTTCTTTTCTTGCACTGTAATTGTCTTATAAATAAGAGGTTGAATTCCTCTTGTCAAGTAATCATCAGTACCTTACATAAAGTGCGTATATAATCTGCCCATACAATAAAGTCATTAATAATGCTCTTTAATAAACTTAAGTTATGACGTTCATTAAAACTGTATCGATTTACTTACCTAACGATACTCAGTAGATGCCTTTGACCTGTGCCAAATCAATTTCCGCCTCATCTCTCTACTGAGCGTTGTTAGTTGACCTTGTTCTCCCTTAAACGCCAGATTATCGTTCTTCTTTTCTTTTGTTGGAGGTATAATTTAGGTCGATTGGCCTCTGACACTATATTGTGCTAAATAAATCAACCAATCGTGAATAATTTTTTATCTATCTTATTGTCGTAAATATCCATCCAAAATTTCTAATGTAGTATAACATAATACGATCAGGAAAATTCAAAACGTCTTTTTTGTCAAAAATCGCTTATTTCTCAAGAATTTACATTTACATAAGGAATCACCTTTCATGCACTAACAAAAAGTTTTCCTTGGGCGATTTTATGATCTATTTACCTAAATCCAAACCCTGATCAAGGCGCTAACCCAAACATAAACTAAAAATTTTTTCATTGGTGAAAGTTTTGATGGCGATACTGGGGTAGTTGTCAAGTTCATTTTTCTATTTTGTAAAGTATAGCTCATTGGATAAGTAACGAAGTAAACAAAATTCAAAATAACTTGCCCTATAGACACTAAACTGCCAGATTTTCATTTGACAGATGAAAGGTAAACGTGGCTTATTCATATTTCTTTATTTATATTTCTTTAAGAGCTATTCATTGCTAATTTATATTAAATTCAGGCTGCTATTCCAAATCGGAAAGAACATTTCGGTTAAAGAGTATAACGATTTTCTTGATCATAACGAATCGTCAGGATATAAACATCACTTTGATAAAAAATGTCTATATTATTGAAATTGTGTATGCACCAAATGAAGATGTTATATTATATCTTCAAGAATGTTTTAAAGAACCAAATAATAAAGTAAAGATTGGACTGATAATAGTTTCTGGTCAATCTTGTAAGAGATTTCATTTAATTCTATTTTTTGGGGTTGTAATAAAAATAAAAATTTTTCAATAGACCATTACAATCCAATCGGAATTAGAGAAAAAATAGCTCCAGACATTGCAGTTCGTCCGAGAGTATAATAAGCGAATCCATATCCTGATTTTCCCCGCGATGACTTCAAAGTACTTTAATATTTCATCATAATAATGCTTATTTTTAAAACAATTCTAACAATATTGAATTTATACAGAGAAACTCCCATGCAAGAATAATTTGCGAAGCTGCTAATACTCAAAAAATTGATTCATCACGATGCGAAACGTGGATGCACAAGAAATACGTCTGCTGTGTATTTGAAGTTAAACTTTATCCTAAAATAAATATCAAAAAAATTGTTCATCAGCCAATAATAGTATTGTTGCTATCGTTTGGGAGAGCTTCTATACGATTGATACAATTTAGCTCCAATAGTAAACTTATAAATTATGTATTAGAACCGCAGTAATAAAATGATAAACGAAATAAACACTATCGCTTATGTAAATACTTGTGCGCGTGAGATACATAATTAATCCGATCGAGATCGGGCACTTAATTATATCTATCGGTAATTAATTAAGAATTGATCAGTAATAATGGTAGTTATCAATATCAAAGGTCGATGCTTATAAAGGTAATGCAACCATTAAGAATCTTAATGATTAGGTAATACAGTAATATATGTATTTAAACATATTGACTAAAAATATATTAAACTGCATATATCACCTAGTAAATATATAGTAAATAAGTTAATATTTGTACTATATATTACTGGTTATTATGTTAAAATATAATTTTTTTTACCAGTGTTTATTAGTTTATTCTCCTAAGTTTTTACCCGTTTCTGACCTTTTTTTACACCTTAACATACTAAGCAATAAACAAATAAAAGAAATCTGTAAATATAAAAATAACTGTGGGGGCTGATGCTGAAAATTGGGATATCTTTTTAAATCTATAAAACCTACTAAAATTCACATATACTTTTTTATTAATAAAATACTACTCCCTAACCATGAAAAAAAAAACCACAAAAAAGGCCCTAAAAATTTTTACAATTTTATAATAAAATATAAAATTTTTCAGCATCAGCCCCCACCCTTCGGTACCTTTAAACCTCCGCCACCCTAGAAGCCTCACAATATCCTCGTAGCTTCAGAGCTTAGTCACAAACAAACATTTTTGTTACTATATACCTTACACTATCCAGTCACGATTTTAGTATGTTTAACATGCATTTATTATTCAATTAGTTTCAACTTTATGATTTTTTTCTATATTGGCAAGATTATGAGTACGTCGAGAACTACCAGGTGGTGTAAAACCTGCAATTGTGAATTTTCCGAAATCAATTTTATAGAAACAACTTATCAGACACATGATTTATTAAATAGAATTTATTATAGAATTATTATAATTCATCAGGAATTTGATTACTGTTTCTGAAAAGCGAAGCCGGAAATTGCAGGCTTTCGCTTTGCAGCACTCATATGAAAGAGGTAATATTAATTTACTGTTGTATTTTTATATATCCGGATTAAATTACAGTAATTTTTGCAAATGATAGTGGAAATGCGGAACAAAATACATCATAATACACATATACCAACCGGTTGTAATGCTCCGAATAATGATGAATTTAAAGTAACTATTCCTGTTAGTGATGCCTTTTGGGATTTCCAATTTTGTGTGGAGTTCAAATGTTGAAGATTATACTGCAGTGTAGAGATAATGTAAGTAATAATTACTTATTTTTTACCCCAATATTTACACATAAATATTATTACTAATTATTCCTATGATGAATAATTATTGCTTATTACATTTTACGAAATAATCTGGAAAGCAAATTTTCAACTCAATAATTTGCTGATCAAGTTAAGATTTTGTTCTTTACTTATTATTAATTATTACGCAAAAAATGATAAGAAATAATTGGAAATAATAAATAATAATAGTTAGCTAAACTTGCCCATCTCTACTGCAGTGGTATCCGATAATGTTGGCGAAAGTTTTTTTATTGACTTATATGACATACAAGTAGTTCTTAATGTAAATTAAGGTAAGTTCATTATGATTTGACGTATCAAGCGAATAAATTATTTTTATTATATAGTTGGTCTAAATTTTAATTACCTTTAAAAAAAACGCAGTATCTGTAGCAATTTCGATTCGGTTAAAAACAAAAAAAAATAACTCTCAAAGATTTATTATAACATTTTATTAATACGTATGTATTTTTCACTATTACAAATAAAGCATATTTTCTGGAAATATGAACGCATAAATGTTGATTAAAGTTTATTTTGCATAAGTTTATCGTTGATCGTATATCAAAATTCGAGATCATGTCATCGATGTCACGCTTGGATAACTACACAGTAAAAAGCACTATTACCATTCCACCTGAAATGATGCTATCGCATCTAAAGACTCTGGGTGTTGCCCACTGAATATATATTATTTGTATTAATAAATAAAGATAATATATATTGCATGATTACAAGTAAAATTCATTACATAGAATGTGACCCGGGGTCACGACATCATATAACATATCTCCCAGTAAAACAATAATTATGACTTTTGAGTTTATATCATCTTAGTTTCGAAATCATCAAAGCCGTGAAAGATTTAACCCGTTTTATCTTATCTACTCCAATTTCACTCTAGCTGTACGTTTCGGAATATTTTTTGTTGAAATTTAGGTGACCTACAGTAAAGAAATTTGCCTATATAATAAGCTATACGGTGCGAACCATCTAAAGACATCCAAATTGCTACTTTTCAATGAATATTCTGAATTTTGCAAAAACAATACTTAGCTTTATATAGTTCTGAATAATATCTACCAGGCTAAGTATTGTTTCTGAGAAATTCGTCGAGCAGTAAAGATTTTTTAAAAAACATAACCAATTTTTAGTATGGCGTAGTGTGGCATAGGCAATGATGATTGGAATTTCAAATATGCTATCTATAATTAAACAAAAGTATTAATAATTTTTTATGCCTTTAAAAAATTTTTATTCGTGATTGATTCTGCGGCTATATTATAACATCATATTATTAGTGGCATTTTTTGATGTCTATAGATGGTTCACACCATATGAAAATGGTTACGTCGGGGAAATGGTTGTCAATGAAATGTTTTCAGGAAAAATAATTGTCGAGAAAATGTTTAGAGAAATAATTGACAGAAAAAAGATTTTTTGGAGAAATGATAATATAAACCCTTTACACAATTTGTAAATGAAATTTAAATGAGAAAAAATTTTTTATTTCAAGAACCAAAGTTACTTATGCTAAAATATATTTGTTATTTTACTGATCAATTCAGTACATGCCTTGAAATCTTTGTTGATAATGAAAATATTATTCGATAATACATTTTAAAAAATTTATATAAATAATTTCTGTAAGCTGGTTTTCTTTCGGGTGTTATTCTTTTTATTAAATTTTCGTCAACAATTGTTTAACATGTATCTAATGAATTTAATAAGAATCATCTGATTTTAATTATTATAAAAAAAATCAAATGTTTTTGAATAAATAAAGTCGATAAAAAATGTAAAATATACGAATAAAAAAAATATACACAAGTCGAATGTTGAATATATAGTAACAATATATATAATTATTATATATATATATAAGAATTTTAGCTAAGATTACATGCCCAGGTTTTTATTTTCTGTGGGAAGATGTCGAATAATTAATGATCACGAAATAAAGGAACGTTTTATTCAAAATATCTTCGTATTTCATCGCCTTCCTCTGATTCTGACATTAATAATTCTTGATTAAGCAACTCTTCCAGTTCTTTGCATTCTTTTAAAAGTTTATCCCAGGAATGTTCATTAAAAAAAAGAGGAAATTCAGGAATTATAAACCAAACAACCTTTGCGGGTTTTATTTTTATTTTGAAATCTTTATTTTTAACATCTTCAACAGTTATGGTTTCACTAGAAATATCAACATCATCTTTACTTCCTTTCTCTATATCATCACTTATTTTTTTTCTAATTTTTTCTTGACACATGATTTCTTCGGTTGGATGTGATCGATGTGAATAAGTGAAGTATTGAAACAAACCCATCTCAAGGATATTGACATAAACCTTCGTAGTGCTACAATGCTTGTCAGTAAGACCTCTAGCTATAGTTCTTGTTCCCGGAATATTAACTTGATTAAAATTGTGATTATCACCAAATTTTAGAATTTTATCACTTAAAAATTTCTTAGCAAATGGTTTGTCAAGCCTTTTAGTAATAATTTCTTCTAAAATAGTCTTTTCTCCATCATCAGTTTTATCTATAATTAAATGACCATTTTTAAATTGACCATCCGAATTTGCTTGATCATAAAATTTATCATATATGTGATGATAAACATTTTTGATAGTTTCAAACTTTCTTTGTCGGTAAAAATTGCGAATATCTGCTACATATGTCATTGAATCTTTATTATTTCTGTCAACAGCAATATAGATCCTTTGACTATCTAAAAACTTTGAAATTTTTGACTCTTCACAAAGTTGTAAAAAGACAAATTTATTTATCAAAGTTGCATTATTCTCATTATTTGTTTCAATCATTTCATTTGTTTCAATCATTTCATTCTTTCCATTTGCTTCGGTCATTTCATTCTTTCCATTTATTACATTCTTTATCTTTTTTCCATAAATTTCAATATCTTCAATGGCAAGATCTTGATCATTAGAAAAGAAAGATGAAATTGAGCGGGTTATTACAGTTGAGAGAACAAAGAAAAAAATAGTGTCAATACTTGAAGAGGTACAATAGAAAGCATATTCAAAAAATAATTTCAGGATTGAAATGAAAATCACAAAAAAGAAAGCTTTTTTAGGCACAAATCTTGGAGGTTTTTTGGCTAGACCAGTGTATGGGTTGCGTTTACCAAAATAAGACAAAAATAATAAAATGCCGAAAAAAAATAAATTATGTCTATAGTAGAATTGAAAATTTCTAAATTAATAATATCAATGATCTGTACATGATCATCAACTTCACTCTTGATGCGAATTGAATCAAACACAATGATTATAATTGATTGAAGAAAACATAATATTACAATAAAATTTCTAATGTAGCCATAGTGTGTTTGATGTAATTTTTGAGGAAAATTATATGATAGGGGTAAGTTGTGAAAAGAGCATACTAAAATTATTATAAGACAAAAGACAGTAAAAGAAGTTAATACACATATTGATAAACTAACCAAGATTGAGGAAAAGGAAGCAAATTTTGCAGTAAAAAACCAAGAAAAGGCAGGTGTTAAAAAAACTGTAAGAATTAAAATATCATCTATAATGCACGTTGTTTTAAGGGAAAGCTTAGAGATTGCACCGTAAAATGACACGTTGAAAATGATTCCCGCGATAGTACCAAATCCTGAGACTTGGTCAATGAAGGTAGAATGAGAAGATTTATCAGAGTAATCGGACGCCAGACATTTAAAAGTTGGACGTTCCGGCAGATAAATAATTTTATGTATGTAATTATCTACATTGCCAACGTATATAATAATTAAGATATAACCAATCATCGCCAAAAGACAAATGATTACTAAGTATTTTAATAAACAACTCAAACGATTCATGTTGTAAATGTTAAGATAATGAGCAAATTTGAAAAATACTTTTGGATGTATTTATATCTTTAAGTTAATATCCTAGAAAAACAAGTCCAATAAATATGCAAATACAACAATAAATCTTGAGACATTGTTTAACTTTTATGTTGCCTATTTTTGGGAAATATTATTAATGTAGACTTTTTAAACCGTTATAATGGATGCATCATTGTTGGTAATGGTGGATTTCAATCAACGCTTATCCATTGGACTCTTCTGAATTGAGAGCTCCCAAGAAAAAACACGTAAATTTTATTAGATAAGATTTGCTGGTTTTTTCTTGGAGGCACTTATTTCATTCAATAATGTCTACATTTGTTCGATGGTTTCTAGATTTAGGTTGTTATTACCGTAACTAATTGTACTGTACGTGGCGTATTTATACATGCATATCTATTAAAGCTGATAATTTAGGTAATTTAGTAAATATTTAGGTTTCTTTCACCATTATACGTACGTATGGTGCAAGAAATCTAAAAACCACAATCTTCTCAATCTCCTCAATCTCTTCAATCTCCTAATAGAGACAAGTATAAACAAGTTATTTTCTAAAGGTTTTACCAAAAAATCCCGACATTCAAAATCTCGAAAACCATAATCCCGACATGACGATTAATATTTAAAGATTAGTAATCAAATTAACAATCATTGTCAGACGTTAAATTTTTAATTGTCACATCGCGTGATGTCAGTATTATGGCCTGTCGAGATTTTGGATGTCGGGATTTTTTTGGTAAAACAATAAATACTTTATTGAAGTCGATTATTTGGTTTCAATTATGCCTACTTAATTATACGTTGCATTAGATGGTCTGTGCATAATCACGTAGCACATTGAAATCAAATATTTCTTAAATAATCGACTTCAATAAAGTGTTTATTGATGCCAAGAATTTAGAAAATAACTTGTTTATACTTGTCTCTATAAGGAGATTGTAGTTTTTAAATTTCTCGCACCGTACGTAGGAAATATAAATCTTTTATATGGTTTTATATAGAGAAAATACATTGAAAATAAATTTCTTACAGTAACAATCTCAATAGATCGAAAGACCTACGTAGAATTCGGCTTAGAAATAATATGATAGTGATCATATGTACGGTACAAGAATACTAACTCCACATCCATTTTTTTGGCATCAATAAAGTATTTCCGTAAATACCTTATTAAAATCGAGATAATGTACTATTTGATTATATGTTACATTGACTTTATCTAGAAATATGCAATGAGATAAGAAATTTAAAAATCATAATTTCTAGATTAATATATAAAAATTGGAATCGATTGTTCTTATGCTGTGATCTTTGCAGATCATGATATTATGTGGAATCTAGAGGAGGGACCGTTAATGTTACACAACTGATTTTACACACGGTGTGAAACACATAA